TGTAGATGTGGTGCTTAGGGACATAGTTTAGTGGTGGACTTGGTAGTGTTAGGTTTATGGTTGGACTCAATGATCCTAAAGGTCTTTTCCAATCTAAATGATTCTATGATTCTAATAGCCCCAGCTTGCCCTCTCTTGACTTGCCTAATTCTTCAAGGATCTTTTGGCCTGTCAGCTAATCATCCAGGGCTATGCATAGCTTTTGGCTAGTTCTCTTTCTCTAAAGATCGTTCAAAAGAATGTATGCATGCTGCCTTAATTCTGTTGATAAACTTATGAAAGAAAATAAGAAACAAAGTGGTACATTTACCCTTTTCTCTAGAGGCATGTTTATAGTAAGTTGTCATTCTTAGCAATTAAAATTATTTACTTAAGTCCAATCATTAGCTAAAAATGTTAAAAAGGTAAAATGTAAACACGGAGGCAATCCAGGTTTCACAGTCAATTTCTGTGAAAGAAAATGACCTTGAACAGGATGCATAGTTCCACTTACAAGAGCAGTCCATAACTGCTACAGGGTAAAAAACCATCATCATTGCAACATCTAGTGGGAGCAAGAGGCCTTGAGAAAGGCATGTATCCATGAGACCTGTATCCATTGTAGGTAGCAAGTCTAGAATAAGTGAGTCTATAAAGGAACAAGTGAGTTTATAGAGAAAATCCAGAAGTATTCTGGTACTGTACTGGAGCAGAGATAGAAGCCTACGAGGAAACAGTAAGAAACAGTCACCAGACAGTTGTTGGCTTTTGTAATCAAAGGATGTTATCTAGGAAAGCAGGACCACTGGTAAGAGTACTGGTTTGGGTACACCTGCCTAAAAAGAAAAAACAATCCTCTTCTCTTAGGAAGCAAATCTAGGGGGTTACCCAAAAGGACTATAATAAGAAAAGTTTCAGATGTAAAGCAGAAAAAAGTTGAAGATCAATGTGTCTGCCCTGTACTTTAGGTATCTGGAAATCAAAATGGAAACACACAAAAGGTAGATGCAAGTAGTTGCAATTTCGAATGAATATAAAGGCAAGGCACAGACAAGGAAGCATAAAGGCTGAAGTGTAAAAATGAATTTACAGTTAGCAAGGAACAGAAGTGGCAACACAGAAATGCTTCATATTAAAAGTAAGAAGAAAGGAAATATAGGACCTGAATGGGAAAGAAGAACAAGCAACATGCTCTACGGAAGATTGAAAGACTCAGTTCCTTTTGTCTACTGCCTTCATAAAAATGGTGATGTCTGATCACAAACTGATATGTATTAAGTCTGTAGGACCTGAGGGTAAATTAAATTTAGTGCGTCCTTAGAGAGCTAGATGAACAATCCATGAATTATCAGTGATCATTTTTGCAAACTGATTATCTTGGAGGTTAGAGAATACCAGAGGGCTGTAATGGGGCAAACAGAAAATATATCTTTAAAAATGGCTAAAAAGGATGATCTGGGGAATCTGTATATCAGTGAAATTTATATTCCTACATAAGTATTAGAACAAATTATTAAAAAGACAATTTATAAGCATCTAGAAGATATGAAAGCCGTAAAACAAGAGCTAACGTGAATTTGCCAAGAACATGCTTCTGTCAAAACAATACGATTTCCTCCTCTAACTGAACAGCTTGCCTAAAGGGTGCAGCAATAGATATACTAATTCTCAACTGTAATAAAGCATAGCAAAATGTTTTGGTGCTATCCCATGCTACATTTCCATTAGCAACCTCTGGAAAATTAATTCTATCAGGGCAATGTGGTTCAAAACTAAAACTCAGTGTCCATATTAACATTTTATTATCAAAGTGGAAAGCAAGTGGTCATAATTCATTTAATTGATAGCTTAGATATACCCATATGGAATTTGCAAAGGCCAAGTTAAGCCAAAAGCACTTTGTAAGCCAAAAATTAGAAGTCATAAACATCCTGATAATTGGAGAAATGTTTTAAAAATCAACAATACATAAAAGCGCAGAATAATATAAGAAATAAAATGGAGAAATACAAAAGGGGAAGAGAACAGCTAGGCAGCAATACAGTGGGAACAGATCTGGTGATTATAATTATTGCAAACTAAATATGTATCAACCCTGTGATACTGTAGGGGAAAAAAAAAAGCTCAAAAGTTTGCATTTTCAAACTGCATCAGTCTAATAGGATATTAACTCTTATAAAATTTGCCTTGTTGTTACCCTTAGATGATAGAACACTTAACTTAAGAACCAAATTTTCACAAATACATTCTTACACACCTGGAAAGTGCGTACCAAGCATGGGAAACAACACACATTTTTCTTGAGAAATCTATTTACTTGCACGTAGCATCCCTGTTAGTTCTTATATCTACAGACATTACATGTAAATAGTAAATTACTATTTTGACAATTTGTCCTTGGATGTTCATAAGAAAATCCTTTGAAATAAAAATTTATCTACATTTTCCTCAGCCATAACCATTTCAATATAGTATTTGATCATTTAATATTTGAATATACTACTTCAATATTTACAGTTTCTGTTTCTTAATGCTGTAGGTTCCTACTTCTCACATTCTCTATCATGTTTTAATGGTTGTAGTAAATAAGATCAGGAAGCACTCCTTAGGTGTTCAAATAAACAACTGTTGACATCAAAATCAAAACTTGAAATTAGTATAGCAGATACTAATTAGCATAACAGAAATTTACTGTAATAGACTTTTCTCAAACCAAGGTATATCAATTGATATATACTAGCACATAATCCTATCAGAGCCTTACCATTAATTACTGGGGTATAAACAACAATTCCAACCAAGTTAGGATCAGATACAGTTGTGTCCAGAATAAGGCCACCAATACTGAAAAACAAAGTACAACATTTAGAATAAGGCAAGCAGGTACATTAGTTAGTACTTAAAAACTTTTTTAGCAATCTGTCTTAGAACATCTTCAAGCCACAATTTTCTTCTCAATTCATTCCCATTACCTCATTCTCAGCTACAGACTAACATTGCTATAGTTATTTATATATTAAACTCAACTTCTTGTATAACAAAGCTCATAGAATTTCAGCCAATCACTCCACTTTTAAGATTCATAACTTTCCTTGGATTAAAACATCTCTTAGATCAGTGTATAATCTTGATTGGAAACTGCAGGAGATGAATAGCTCACCATTTTCTTCATTTGGTACGGCACACTTGTGCTCAGTAGTTGCCACAGGCTACTGCTGCCTCCCCCACTCATTCCCATCTGTGACTTAACTTTGTAACTTCCTCGTTTTGGGAAGATTAAAGTTTATTCACACTCCTCACTGTAGAGGCTCCTTAGATGTTTCTTTTAAGCACAATCAGGTGTTAAATAAGATATATAGAGACACGGGGTGACTATCAAGACGAAGGAAGACAAATAGACTTACCTGCTTATAACCATGGCAGTTATAACAGGCTCCCATCCTGAATGGAGAACAGTTCTGGTAGCTGGGTGTTTGGCAGCTATGACAATCCCTATCGGAGTCAGAGCCAAAAAAAAGGCACCAACCAAAGGAGATACATAGTAATACGTCTCTAAAATAATAATATAGAAAAAAAACCCACCGTTTTACTTTCAAAAGTACATTCCTCTACATTTTTCTTAATTTAGAACTCTAAAATAAATTCTAATCTACATCATACAATTGAGGAATTTTAATAGTCTCTATCACTACTGTACCTAAAGTTTCAACTACTGCACTAAACAATATGGTTAACATCTGCCATCTGTGATCAGTCTCCCACCTTCTCACGGACAGCACTATCTGTACAAAGAAGGGATTTTGAAGAAGATTTTTGTGTGATGCTTTATGAAAAAATGCAATAAGGGTGTGGAATATGAAACATTATTTTGTAACATATCTACTAAAAAAAAAAAAGAAACTGAATATATTGAAAATGCGTTTTGTTTATACACAAATTCATAGCATATGTGCACCCCCTTCTTTCCAAAGCACAGATAATACGGTAATCTTCCCAGAAATAGCATATCTAAAATGATGCAAGCACAATGTGTAATATTGAGACATTTATATCTGTAGCTCAGTTATTTTATAACCAGTCTGAGCTTGAAAATTCACAGCCACAATTCTGCTGCTTGCACTTATCCATCAGAATTGCATCATATTTCATAGGAACACAACTGCAAACACCAGTGAGTACCATCATAAAGCTGAGCTTATAAGGCAAACAGCTGCCTCCACTGAAATCATACTATTTTTTCAGATTACTTGGTTTTATAATCCCATCCACACAGAAGCTATTACTTCCAAGACTTCCTAATTCAACAGTGAGGTAAATAATGTAAAATTTATCCTAATGACAAATATATATATAAAAATATGCAAACATTTCACTTTTGCATATATTTAGTTTTATGAGAAATGTGGTAATGTATTTAATGTTAAATACATTTTGTCTAAACTTTCAGAATTTGGACAAGTCTTAATGCAAAATATATTTTAAATTAACAGGTTGAAGTAGTTAATGTAGAACACACAAACACTTTACAAAAGAAGAATATTTAGTATATAAAAAAAGTATTCTCGCCCACCTATTATGGCTTATTACAAAGCAATTGCAAATTCAAGCAATTACTACTTTGATGTTATCTTGGTGGAGCTGAAATTACTCCTAGAAGAATTGCTGTAGAGTTTTTAGTAGTTACTACCCTTCTGCATTGACTGGTAACAACCTCTGCAGCAGAGCCAGCAGAAAAGATAGTAAGATACCTTTCACTGGGTAAGCTAAAAGTAGAAAGCTATTAGAATGAGACAAAGGCCAAAAGAGAAGTAATTTTTTTCCTTTCCTTATCTAACTATTCTCCAGTATATTATCTCCTTCTTCCTTTGCGGTGCCTTTTTTTCCTCCTTTCTCCTCTTTTTGTGAACTAAGAGGTGGGCCTAATGTAAAGAGTTCTTACTCAAAAGGGTACACACAATACACGATTCCTTTATTTGATACTTACAGTTTTTCTTATCAAACTTAATAAAAAAGACAACAATGTGCTGATGTAAAGTTCTTGAACTTTTTGTCATGTAGACTACTACTTACTGCCCAGGTAAATGCATCCTTCCCTCCACTTGCAATGAAGAAAGATCCCTGTGTGCACTAAAATTGGTCACATGGAAAGGCATCATTCATTCTACATCTATTTATTTAAAATTTTGAGACTTCACTCCTTTCCCCCTCTCTTTTTTCCCCTCTTTTTTTTTGTCCCCAAGACATAAATCATACTGCATTCCTGCTGTGTATTCTTTCTCCATCTCTCTCTGTTCCTCTCATATGGAACCAAGGTGAGGCATTAGTGTGTACCAGACACCCGATAACTGATTTAAAGGTCAGAATGAGAGAATAATTCTAATGTAGTATATTTAGTAAAATATAAAAGGGCACAAAATAACGAAATCCTATTAATTTCACAAATTTCCAAGTCTTTGCCATTTTTGGAGAGGTTGCCAATTTTATTAAAAGGTAAAGTCTGCTGCTCAGCAAAGATCCTCTGTTGCAAAAAAACACTGAACAGCAAAATACAGATGCAATGGTGAGCATTATCCTAATTATTCACTAATTTTTGAAAGTCTTTCACTTGTACATTGACAATTAGCCCACTGTACTCTTTATTACAGGATTTCTACCAAGTCAGGAAAGGAAATAAAAGTTCAAAAAAGTATGCCTTTTATAATAATTTATTTTTTAATCCCACTAACAACTTAACTTGTTAGAACACGTTCATGAAAAAAAGGGAGAGTATGTAACTATCTGCACCAGTCTCCAAGCTTGGAGAGCTAGTCCAAGAATGTAGTCCAAGAATTACAAACTAAAAATAAGCAAAGTAAAAATATATCATATAATTCCTTTCTTCTGAAAAAAGGAAAGAGCACATAGATAAAACTGAAATCAGTCCAGCAAATGAACAATGAATACTAACCAAGAGTTATTTAATAGGTAATTTCTAAATAAATAATAATTATGTAAAATACAAAATATACATACACGTCATCCTGCCACAGAAATGTTTTGTAAGAAGTTTAAAAAAAAGGAAAAAAAATGAGAAGACAGTCTCGCTAGTGTATAATGATTCACAAATTATAACCAAAATAAATATAATTTCTATCTGCAGTGCAACAGGACCATTTCAGAAGTCAGCAAGTAGCCAGTAGCAAGGGCAGCTTTACAAATCTTAGAAAACACGACTAACCCATGGCTGATTATCAAACCTTTCACTAGTTGAATTCAACATATTTTAAGTTAGTTAACAGCAGCTACAGGAAAGAAGGAAATATGCATCTATAAAATGACACAAGCTGTCATTTTTACAGCAAACAAAGCAAAAGTTAGTTGAACTTTCAAGACGGTGAATACATGTTTTATAGCAATAAGACCAAAGTGCATAGTGATATAAAAGACAATGACATGAAACAAAATGCAACAAGTGGTTTTTTTACATACTAAGATAGGACTTTCAAGACTACTCAGCAATGGCTTAGCTTTGTTCCTCTGAGTCAAAAACAGTGAGAGGAGTTAATTTTTTTGGCCTTATGTTCAAAATTTTAAGATGTACAAATGTCTTAATTTCACTGTGGAGAAAAGTACAGATAAAACTTACGAAATAGGTTTTATACCCGAGTCCTTTAAATTGAGTTGGACAGAAACTGGATTATAAAAGCTACCCCATTGTTACAATACTGTCACAAGTTTCTTCTTGAAAGGGACAAAAGCCAACAGTGGCTCTCAGGAGTGGGGAATCTCCAAGGACAGGATGCAGCCAGAGCTTGTATTATTTTTTTTAAAAAAACTTCTGCTATGATAATATACTAGCACTTTATTGGGATTCCTTGTTCTAAAAGTGCTAGAGGGAATAATAAATAAAAAAATAAATAGACCACCAACCATCCCCATGCTGCTAAACAAGTTGGAAATCAGGTATACATATTAATCAGTTTAGAAGTTTTAGACTAGACAAGTGAAATTCACCCTACTCAGGTTTTAAGGCAAAGATGATGCAAAAATTAAGGCAAGGAAGCCTCAGAACTTCATCCCTACCAGAACTTCAAATTCTGCCGCCTGTCTATTAAGTTTAATTAAAAACAGAACTATAGAAGTAATTAATAGTTTAGAAACTTATCACAGAATCTGTCACGAGTGAGCAACGATAGACTCCAGCTACCTACAGGACTAGTGAAACTACTCAGCTGCAGTCTAACTCTTGGGAACAGAGCGCAGAATTTTTTTTTTTTTTTTTTTTTTTTTTTTTTTTTTTTTTTTTTTTTTTTTTTTTTTTTTTTTT